AGGACTCGCATCCTCAGTGGGAGGCTACAAAGCAGAAGAAATAACCTTCCAGTTCAGAAAATTCAGCTTTGAGAGACAGAAGGTAGTACAATCAATGGCAATAAAAATATTAAGTAAAATAATTTAACAATGAAATCTTTCAAAAGAAATCCCTTTCTTAAGGGCTCTAATCTAAAAGACATGCAAATGGTATTTATTGTATGCGGGGGGGTTGCAGACTCATTCACTAAAGTCATCGATGAAACAATTAAAGGTCACTGTTGAGGGACTATGGAGCTAAACAGGAGATCTGCCTTGGGTGGGATGTCATTTATGTGTTTCACCAAATTTATTAGGTTTTTATAGGGCCAGGAGAGAGAGATTACAGCATTGTCTCTTGGGTCAGATGAGATTGTATGGGACTGTGCTCTAAATAGTTTATTATTCCCTGAACCATTTTAGCGTGTGTTCTGAGTCTGGCAGGAAAAGAAGAGGCAGATGATTGGAAAACCTTCATCAGACAAAATCCAGTAGCTGTCAGACAGATTCTGACCAAGAACCGCATGTTTTTTCAGTGACAGAGATTTGGGTAGCACGCTAAGAGATGGGACTTGCTTCCCCTTCTTCTTGATTTGACTTCGCTGCACTTGCAGCAGTGCAGAAGTGGTTGGTTACAGCGTCACAGAAGGGTGCTCTGGTTTTATGCGAGCTAGGTAGGAGTCTGAGCAACCTTCCCTACCAGACCTTCCCTGCTGTCGAGTGAGACATCCCGATCCAGCAAAACCTTCTCTCAGCTGAATTCCTCCACAGCGCTGCCGCTGTGTATCTTACTGCTCCCCATCGCTCTCACTTTCCAGGGAAGGTTGTAGGACCGTCCTTGTTTGCCACAGCTTAGAGTGGGTTTTCACACGCGGGAGAGCTGCCTCGCTCTTCCCGTTCTGCCTGCTCAGCTCACAGCTATTGGATCTTCCACGCCAGATTTGTCACCACGCTTCCTGGGGGTAAAGGCTGTCCTTCCGCCTGGTGCATCTAGCGAGAGGATCCCAATCACCGCCCACAGATGTTTTCCTAAGGTTGCCATTTCCAGGAGAAAGAAGAGGGAAGTGCTTTTTCTTTCTACTTACTGGCAGTTCCTTAATTTACTATAAATATTGTTAGGGCATCGTTATGGCTAAGGACTTTTAAATGGAAAGTTTCTCCTCTGGAAAAGGAAGTGTGGGTAAAGCTGCGTATTTGAAGAGATGGGTTTATTTCTAGGAAAGTAGGAAAATTGAGTCTGCTGGATGCTGAAAATTCCAAGGTAGCAGAAATAAGAAAAAAAATGTTTTAAAAAACCAGGGAAACTATGAAGAATGAAGTATTTCTTAGAGCACCTCCCTTCCTGGAGCTGAAACTAAAATACCCTGACAGCAGAGAACTCTATGTAGAATTTAAATAATATAAGCAGTCTGCCCCTCTGTGGAAGCTGGTCTCCCCGACTTGCTCATACGGACTTCCTCCGTGCCACCAGCCGCAAATGTCGTTGTACTCCTGATCCCTTTTGACTGCACGTACTGCGCAGCGGGGCCTTCATCTCATTGTAAATCGCCGTGAAGTACTTAGGCAGTGTTCCATAGTAATGTGCCGTTCTGTACTTTTTATTGGTGTATACATTCTATATGCACAAATAGTTGCTTTCAGTTGTGCATTTGAGGCTTTATTTTTTTTAAACTCCTTGCTTTCAGCAGCATAGAATACAATGAGAGATAACTGGAATTGTTTATAGCCTTTTATGCCCAAAGCAGCTGAGACTCCCTTATGACTAAGATGAGTTTGTTAATTGTCAGTTTGCTCTAATGTAATGATGCAGCAACTTAATCTGTTGCTGAAATATTTATTCTGCTTTTGTTATGCCATTACTCTTTATTGCTTTTTATTCATAAGAAACTATTCAAGTTAAAAAAAAAATCATAGAATCATAGAATGGTTTGGGTTGGAAGGGACCTTATAGCTCTTCTGGTTCCAACCCCCTGCCATGGGCAGGTTGCCTTGCCCCTCCAGGCGCTTTTCACAGCCCCTCTCCAGCTCTCTCGCAGCCCCTTCAGGCACTGGCAGGCTGCTGTCAAGTCTCCCTGCAGCCTTCTCTTCTCCAGGCTGAACAGCCCCAGCTCCCTTGGCCTTTCCTCCCAGCAGAGGGGTTCCAGCCCTCGGAGCATTGCTGGGGCCTCCTCTGGCCCCGCTCCAACAGGTCCGTGTCTTTCCAGTATCTGTGTTTTATATTTTGCATACACATGCACATGTGTCGTGTGCCTATTTATACGTTCATATTTTATTTATAGATAACTAGCTAAGCAGTGTAAACCAATGTCATCAATAAGGCCATCACGTAATGACATTAAAACAGGCAGTGCTTCCAGTCTTGTGTGCCAGCGGTCACACGCGCAGCCAGAACAGTCGGCCGCTCTCCTCACCAGTCAAAGGGAGCTGAGCGTTACAGGATTCCCTTTCAGGTGTTTGGCATTGGCCTTTGCTGATAGGAAGAGCAGTCTGTATCTCTTTGCTACATCGGTTTGAAACGACAGATTGGTTTGAAAATACTGCCCTGGTACATTCTGTTGGCTGGTGGACAGATGGCCAGGGCAGTAAACGTGCGCAGTCCTGAAGAAGGCTTGGTTTGCGTCTTCCGTAAGACGTGTGAAGCAGGTGAAGAACTTTTCCAAGTTGTTTTCTGTCCTCAGTGCAAAAGCATCTTGGCATTTGGGGCAGACTTTAGTGAAAGCACCCCGTCCCCAGGTGTGTGCTTGTGCCAGGGGATGAGGAGGTGCGACCCCCACATGCAGAACCCTCCCCCAGCCCCAACCGTACGCCTGCTTTCCTCGTTCTCTGCTTGGAATGAGACTCTCGGTTAAACGTGCTGGCAGTGCCTTCCCAGAAATACAGGTGTGCAGGTATTTTCTGGCAGTGGCGGAAGGTTCCATGCCTGAACAAGAACCTGTGTCTGTACGGGCTGGCGGGTTTGGTGGCATTTAGAGTATAAATTATGCATGCTTGAAATGAAGTGTATTTCAGTAGCAGATAGCTGAAAAGCCTTGCGATGTACTCCCAATTCAGCGGCATTGCCTTGAGCTGCTCTGAGGCCTCTTTTTTAAACTCAGACATTAGCACAAAGCACACCTCTGACTGCAGGCATTTAAAGATCAACAAGGGCCAAAAAAGCTTTTAAGATCCAGTGAAACCAGGAAAACAACCATGTTGCCTTTCAGTGTCAGGTTAGATTGCCTTCTTACGAGCGCAGCTATTTCAGGTACAGAGTGCTTGGTGGTTTGGGTCTTGTTGTGTGGAGAAAGCGTTCCCCAGAAAACATCTGTTTCTTTCACCTGCAAACCGCAGTGTGCTGTGAAAAGGCAGGGCTGCAGCCACAGAGACCCAGGGGGACAGGGGAAATCTGGCTCTCAGGGATGAGCGTGGTTTTCTGAAACACGGTATCAAAAAGAGCACTTAAAAGGAGAGAATGCTTTTAGAGCACCCAATACACCGCAGATTGGGCAGGTCAGCTTGCTTGTCAGCTTGAAATTCTTCCTGCAAGGCCAATACTGTTTATTAGCAGCAACAATTTGAACAAGAAGAGTTTCTATTTTTCAGTGACTGTAAAATGCTCTGCTTTTCTGTAAGATAACAGGAAATCCCGCTGTCATCTGCAGTGTCTAAAATCTGTCTGTGCAATATAGCTACTGCTTTCCCTTCTGTCTCCATTTTTATCTTACCATTATTGAAGTTCAGCTGTAGCTCTCATGTATGTTTTGCAAGTGTAGTACTACACCCTCGACTTGTAAAATCTTTATAGTATATTTTAAGCCAACAGATAATGTAACGCTAATATTATGCTATGTGTTACATATATATATATGTAATATACAACAAAAGAACTCTATTCCTGAGAAAAAGATGACGTTATTTTAGAAGTAGGGATTTACACATTAAAAGTACAGGGATTTACAGCTGCTGAAGAGCTGGCTTGTCTGGCTCCAGTTTTTGTTTCCCGCGGCAGTGCTGGAGCTGAGCTGGAGGGGCATTTCCGCTTGTTTTGGTGAACTCATTGTGTGACTTTTATTGGCCCTGTCATCCAAGGTAGAACAGGGTATGTTCCAGCTGTTCTTCTGGAAGCCTACTGGATATCATTCCCTCTTTTTTTAAGTCAACTGGGTTTCACAGGAACAAGCTGAGAACACCAGAAGGAAAGAGAGAGTGCAGAAACACAGGGAAGCTGCTCAGGAGCAATGGCTGTGTCGCTGCCGTGCAGCGTGGCAGCAGCGTAGGTCCCAGGAGGGGACTGCACATGAACATGAGGAGCAGTGCTGGACCATGTGAAAAAAATTTGGAAGAAAATCGAAGTATCCCTATAGGAGAAATAAAGCCTGCCCTCCCAGTGCCCCTACCTGGAAGGGGTGGCTGCAGGCTGGTGGGAGCAGGGTGCTTGGGCTCTCCCGGGGTCTCGCCAGGGAGACACGAACGTGAGCGAGAAGGCAGCTTGGGTCACGAGCGGCGTGCAGTGCGGCCCTTTCTGAGGAGTAACGGTGTGGAAGGAGGTGATGCGGTGGTGTAACTGCTGCCGCAGAAGTTGGGCTGTCTGTGCTGGTGCCCTCAGTCCAGCTGTTGGGATAAAGGCGAGCTCCATCCTTGTGCCATAGGCGGGAGGGCAGGGTCCTGCTGGCCAGAAACAGGAGAGATGGGCCTGGGGAGCAGGTCAGCCCTCCTCGGTCTCTGGGACGATCGTGGCGCATGTTCCTTTGGGACCCAGAATGCCGCGTTCCCAGGCCAGCCCCGTAAAGAACTGCAGCAAAGGATAATCCCTCCTTTGGCTGCAGCTGTGGGGTGGGTGTGGGGTGTGGTGTGTCTCCACATCATGCCTGGTCTCTGGTCTAAAACTACCCAAAAGGTGGTGCTCAGGGCATGCGGGGCAGGGGAGAGCCCTTGGTGGGGTGGAATTTCAACCATTTAATCAAAGAAATGGTCTTCCAGTGTCTGCCTTTTTGTTTTTTCAGAGGATGACATGAACAATTACATCAGTCGATACTACAGTGAGCCTAGCAGTGGTAAGTTTTGCTTGAAACTCTAAATGTGAACTGCATTTTTGCATTGCACGGTGTGCCATGAACCAGGTGAGACTGAGCAGTGGTGTAGATCCATCCTGGAAATGAAACCCACCCTGGCATCTCTTTTTTTGCTCCATCAAAGTTCGTACCAAACCAGTATTTCTCTGAAGGTTGAAGGGCCCCAAGTTTGCTCCTGCT